AATATATTAAAGAAAAATAGAATTAAAGTGTAATTTACCCATTTCTTAAACCGGGCCTTTTCAACTGGGCCCAGCCATCGACGTGCACCGCATCTTAGATGTCGGCCTTGAGTGATAATTTTTCATCTTCATACTTACGTCTGAGAGCATGGGACTCGGAAAATTTCAAATCGAATCAAAATTATTTCGAACCGAAAAATAACTGTTGACCGTTTGACTTCTCCGAACCAATCTTAATCGAAAAAAATAATTGGTACAGTTCTGGAGATTTCATAAATATCTGTACCGAGAACCGAACCGAACCGTCTCATACCGTATCAAACCGAGAACCGAAAGAACCGAATTATAAAAATAGATGTGTGCTATTAATATATTTTGTCAAATTTGATCCTATATAACTTGAGAATTTTTAAAATGTAAATAAAATATAATAATAACAATTAATCTTCACTTAAATTTTATATTTAGTAATACTTAATTTACAATTAAATTTTTCTTGTTTTAAAATAAAATACTTAAAATGGAATGAAAGGTTAAAGAAGTATTTTTGTAAAAATATTTAAACTTTATTTAAATTTTATCGATACTTAGTCTTATTCTATCTTATAACTAACATGGTAAGGAATGTTAAAGAAATATTTTCAATGTTTGAATTTTGTTTGAATTTTGAATTTTCATTATTAGTTGCACAAATTTAGTCTTCGCTAAAATTTAGAGTTACTTATACAGTTGATTTTAAATAAAATCTTTAGTATGGTGAAGTACTAATGAATGTTGGATCTAAAGAAAAAAATATATATAAATTAAAATATAACTGGTGGTCATTCCAAAAAAATTAAAAATAATTAAAAAAATCTCTGAATATCCAAATCGATGCAAACCGAACCAAACCGTTTCGATAGTCCCGAATACCGAACTTAACCAAACCGAAAAATAAAAATCTCCGAACCAAACCGAACCGATTTTTGGTACGGTTCTGGAGATCGAATTTCACAGATCTCCGAATATTGGTACGGTTCTGGAAATTTATCAATCTCCAAACCGTACCGACCCATGTTGACCCCTATTCATACTAAATTACTAAAACATAATTTTTTAACTATTATTATACTTGGCTAAATTACATTTGTACAATTACTTTTGGAATTTTTTTTTTGAATTTTTTTTTAAATATAAAATTAACAATATTCAATTTTACTTAAATAGTACATCATTATTGTAAATTTACGGACTTTTTCTTATCTAAATTTACATTTATTTATTTATAGTTTATCGTAAATTTATATTACCAGCTCCCACGATTTGGCAATTTTTTTTTATTAATATATCAAACACAAACTATTAATAAAATGGACTCGACAATTATATCTTCAACAACATAAATAAACCAAACATTCAAAAAAATTCTCAAAAGATTGAAACATCACCAACCATACATAATATATATTGATATAAATTACAATAAAACCAAAAGCAAGAAAAACAAAATCATCACAATTATTATTATTATTATTATTATTATTATTATTATTATTATTATTATTATTATTATTATTGCAAATGACAAATATTATCTGATGGGAGAGTAGAGTATAATCCATTGCTATTTCCGCCCAAATTTAAGGGTGTGCTTCAAATTTGGTTGTCCTACCTCATTGGGGTATCACAACAAGCGCAGCGGACAAAAATACCCCTACAACAAATATGGCGAACACTACTTCAAACGAAAATAAGCCAACACAAATAAATAAAAGACGGGAAGAAAAGAAGAACACAAAAATTGATAACGGAGTTCGGCGAAAATAGCCTACGTCTCCGGGCACCGCCAACCGCAACGCCAAATTTACTAAACTCACCAACAAAATACAACTAGGGTTAAATAACCCACAAAATAGGATTTCCTTAATTAAGGATTTCCTTCTAAATAGGAGAGAATAGAATAAGGTGCAATTGTAACCCAAAGGCAAGGGACCTATTTATACTAAAAAGATCCTACACATCTTTGGTACACATCCGATGTGGGACATAAAATTAATCAAAATCTAACAATTCTCCACCTTGACTAATTTTTGCTCCCACTTCCAACTCAACTGCTAGCGGTGCCTCCAAATGCGCCTCTCGGCGCCAACTCAAATATGCAGAATGTTGGTCAAGTCTAAACAATGTTCAAACTTGACTGTTGTCACTACCTTGGTCATCATATCTGCAGGATTCTCCGTCGTCTTGATCTTTTTCAACACAACGGTTCCATCTTCTAGAATCTCCCGCACAAAGTGATAGCGAACATCAATATGCTTCGTTCATGAAATACTTGATTTTTCGCTAAGTGAATAGCGCTCTGACTGTCACAATGCACTAAGACGTGCTTTTGACCAACTCCCAAGTCTTCAAGCAAACTTTGAAGCCAAATAGCCTCCTTCACAGCTTCAGTAACCGCCATATACTCTACCTCTGTTGTAGACAAAGCAACTGTTGACTGTAAGGTAGACTTCCAACTGACTGGAGCTTTTGCAAAAGTGAACAAATATCCAGTCGTTGATCTTCGCTTATCCAAATCACCCGCGTAGTCAGAATCACAATATCCAACTACACACTGACCAAATTCATTCTGCTCATAAACCAATCCAACATCTACAGTACTATGAATGTACCGTAGAATCCATTTCACAGCTTGCCAATGACCTTTCCCAGGGTCATGCATATACCTGCTAACAACACCAACTGCTTGTGAAATGTTGGGCCTTGTACACACCATCGCATACATCAAACTGCCAACTGCATTTGCATATGGGACTCTAGTCATGTACTCTCGTTCTTCATCACAATTTGGCGATAATTGGGCACTTAACTTCAAATGAGGGGCAAGTGGTGTACTTACTGGCTTCGACTCATCTTTTATGCCGAAACGCCGCAGTACCTTATTCAGATATTGCTTCTGAGTCAAACAAAGCTTGCCTCTCACTCTATCCCTACTTATCTCCATCCCCGAGAATCTTCTTTGCTTCCCCCAAGTCTTTCATCTCAAACTCTTGATTCAACTGAGCCTTCAATTGATCAATCTCCATTTGGCTCTTTGATGCAACCAACATGTCATCCACATACAAGAGTAAGTAAATGAAAGATCCATCTTGCAGCTTGCGTAAATACACACAATGATCATGTCTGCTTCGCGTGTACTTCTGCCCAATCATAAACTTATCAAACCGTTTGTACCACTGCCTCGGAGATTGCTTCAGTCCGTACAACGATTTGTTCAACTTACAGACCCAATTCTCTTTTCCAAGAATTTTGAATCCTTCTGGCTGAGTCATGTAGATTTCCTCATCCAATTCTCCGTGTAAGAACGTCGTCTTCACGTCAAGTTGAGCTAGCTCTAAATCCAATTGTGCTGCTAAGGCCAACAAAATTTTAATGGAAGAGTGTTTAACAACTGGAGAAAACACTTCATTATAATCAACTCCTTCCTTCTGAGCGTAGCCTTTAGCCACTAACCTTGCCTTGTAGCGCACATCATTCTTATGAGGAAATCCATCTTTCTTTGCAAATACCCACTTGCATCCTATCGCCTTTTTGCCTTTTGGTAGTTGCGTCACCTTCCAAGTTTGATTCTTCTGGAGAGACAACATTTCTTCCTCCATAGCCCACTTCCACTTCTCATTTTCTAAACTTCGAATTGCATCTTGAAAAGTGAAAGGTATGTCATCATCAACAATTGGAAGTGCATAAGCCACCATATCCGCCAATCGAGCAGGTTGTTGAATCTCTCGTCTGGGCTTTCTCAATGCAATGGGTAAATCTAATGATTCATGAGTCTGAACTTCATCATCCGACGAATCGTTTGATATTGTTTCGTCGATCATAGCTGGTTGTCTCGTCATCGCATCTATCTCCACCTGCTTCGGTGTCAACTCCACCTGTTGGCTTTGCGTCGTCTTTATCATACTTTGTTCATGGAATGTAACATCCCTGCTAAATACAGTTTTGTTCGTCTCAAGACACAAAAGACGATATCCCTTCACGCCAATTGTGATTCCCATGAACAAACCCTTTTTCGCTCTTGGATCTAACTTTGAATCCTTCACATGATAGAACGTAGGACACCCAAAGACATGTAAAGATCCATAGTCAGCAATAGGTTTCCTTGACCAAACCTCCAACGGTGTTTTACCATCTTTTGCAGATTACGGCAAACGATTTACGAGGTGTTGCGCGTATGTTACAGCCTCAGCCCAGTACTCCTTGCTCAAACCAGCATTGGACAACATACATCGAACTTTCTCCACCAATGTTCGATTCATGCGCTCCGCCACCCCATTTTGTTGTGGTGTCCGTCTAACGGTGAAGTGCCTAACAATGCCATTTTTACGGCAAACTTCTTGAAAGGGATCGCTTGTATATTCTCCACCATTGTCCGTTCGTAGGACCTTGATCTTCCTTCCAGTCTGGTTCTCTATTTGTGTCTTCCATGTAATGAAGACACCAAGCACTTCATCCTTCGTCTTCATAATGTACACCTAAACACGTCTGGAAAAGTAATCGATTAAAGTGACAAAATAGCGTCTTTCGCCTAATGATGGGGTCTTAGAAGGTCCCCAAACATCCGAATGAACATAATCCAAGACACCTTTGGTATTATGGATAGCCGTTCCAAAATTTACTCTCTTCTGCTTTCCTAAAACACAGTGCTCACAAAAGTCTAGTTTGCACACTTTGACATCTTTCAACAGTCCTTGTTTTGCCAATGTTTGCAAGGACTTTTCACCAGCATGTCCCAACCGCATATGCCACAACTTGACTGCTTCAGACTCCTTGTTGGTGGAATCTGCTACTGTTACTGTCCCAACAACCGTATCACTTTCATAGTAATACAAATTATTCCTCCTTATGCCTTTCATCACCACGAGCGAGCCGGATGTAGCCTT